GTACTGTTTGCTAATCAGCCTCTGATGATAACACCTTATAATAAACAAATAACGAATAATATATATAATAATATAAAATATATAATAATAATATATAATATAATATTAATATATAATATTAATATATAATATAATATATATATTAATATTATTAATAATAATAATAATAATAATAATAATAATAATAATAATAATAATAAATTAAGTAAATCTTAATCTTAATCTTAAATAACACACAAGGTACAAGTGTTTAAGTTGTCTTGTCTGGTGGCGGTCACATGGTGGCAGTATACAGGCTTAACTGTGTTTGTGTGGCTGCACTCAACACAGAGTAGAAGAACAAGAACAAGATGGCGGAACGAGGCTACAGTTTCTCACTCACCACATTTAGGTAAACTTTGTTTAATTTGTCATAAAACTTGATACGGGCGTCTTGATTTGTGCCAGGAAGATGTTGTGTTTATAATTCATCTTGAAAGATGTTATGCAAATCTTTCACAGTTCATAGGATACCCGGATGTAAGGAGTCGAGTAGCTGATGCATTGTCATTGTCGTCTCAGTTAATCAGCTAGCTTAAACCGTTAGCATGTCGATTTGACCAAATGAAAGAGAGAATTTATTCATTCATGTTAACGACAATAAACAAATCAACCGGATTGTTTTTAAGTGTGAGCTAATACATGAATAGACCGAAACGGGTCCGTTTATCTGCTAACTGTCTACATACATGCTAGGCTAGCTACGTTAGCTCCGATGAGTCGGTTGTTTTAACTTTTGCTTTCAGTTTCTCCTTCATGAGTTAAAAAAACCCGCACTGCCAAAACAACAGGCGCAGAGTATTCTAGTTATTTATCTTGGTGTGTTTCCTCCTGCAGCCCCTCGGGTAAACTGGTCCAGATTGAGTACGCGTTGGCAGCTGTAGCAGCAGGAGCTCCGTCAGTCGGCATCAAAGGTACAAAGTGTGACACAAAGTGTGACACCTGCTTCTCACATCACTGTGTTGTTCTTCAGAAAGAAGCCTAATGCACTTCAAACATGACATGAGTATAAATCATATTCATTTGAAATAATCTCTATGTTATCAGAGTATATAATAGTTTGTCTAGGAGCATTAAAAACTTAAGTAACATTCATCAATGGAGGATTAATTAACAACTTTAATGATCTTGGTTGATTTTTCTGCTCCTTCAGAGTAGGGCTGGGCGGTATGGACCAAATCTCATATCTTGATATTGTTTAGCTGAATGGCGATACTCGACATATATCGATATGTATTTTATTAACAGTGAAAACACATGTAAAAATAAACTACCTGTTTGTGAATTTAAAAAGTAATATTATAAAATACAAATGTTTCTTAAATACAATAAGAGAGAGAGAGGAGGAGCAGGGTTAAGAGGGACAGACAGTCAGTCATCATCAGTGAGATGAGAAAAAGGTGACCTGGCACCTCTATAACATTATTTTAATGCAACATAAACTATATCCATATTAAAGATATTGTCTTACCTTATATCTTGTTTGAAAATATATCGATATATCTAAACTTGATATATTGCCCAGCCTTACTTCAGAGTAGTTTCTTCTAAATAGATTAAAACAAGAAAACATGTGTGACGAATGTAAAGTATTACAACTCTTCAGTTTCTCACATTTTTATGCAGTACTATGTATCCATAATATTGAAGAATTTATTGTACATGCTAAAAAAAGCTGCAAAACCTAACAGGAAATGGTGCAGCAACCTGAGCAGTCGCCATATTATGTAGAAGCTGATTATTTGATACCGACTTTCAAATAATCCTGAGGTCTGAATTTTGAAGGCTAATTGTGATATTGTCTTTTCAGCTTCCAATGGCGTTGTCCTGGCAACAGAGAAGAAACAGAAGTCGATTCTGTATGATGAGCAGAGTGTCCATAAAGTGGAGCCCATCACCAAACATATAGGCATGGTCTACAGCGGCATGGGGCCTGACTACAGGTGGGGATTCTTTTTTTCCATCTCTGAGAAAAGAAAGCCTGGATCTCTGTTAACTTCAGTCAAAATAATGCATCTTTCTGTGTGCTATCCAAAGACTTCAAATCCATTCAAGAAAGAATAATGTGAAAGAAACTGTGCTTTGATTGGTCATAAATACCTTTAGCAGCAATATTTCTAACTTCATCCAATCTATTATAAATGTTTGTGTAATATTTTGTACAATATAGAGCATATTTATGTGTTATGTGCGCAAGGTTTTAATAGAACATCCATCAGGACTTTGATTTCTCTGAATCTGAGAAATCCAGCAGACACAACCAGAGTTTGTAAACCGATTGAACCTAAAAGAAAATGAGATGTGTTATCCTTACAGGGTTTTGGTCCGACGAGCCCGTAAATTGGCACAGCAGTATTCTCTGGTTTACCAGGAGCCAATCCCCACAGGCCAGCTCGTCCAAAGAGTGGCATCTGTCATGCAGGAGTACACACAGTCTGGGTGAGTAAACACACACACACACACACACACACACACACACACACACACACACACACACACACACACACACACACACACACACACACACACACACACACACACACACACACACACACACTGTATATACTTAAAAACACTCAAATACAGTTTCAAGCACCTTACCCTTTTTTTTTTTAATTGTCCTGGTTTATTTGTTTATCTTTTCTTCAGTGGAGTACGTCCGTTCGGCGTTTCATTGCTGATTGCTGGATGGGATGAGGATCGCCCCTACCTGTTCCAGTCAGACCCCTCAGTAAGTTGTTTGCTGACCTAAGAATTTGTTGGTTGGGAAAAACAAAACATTTTCAATTATTGTTCTCTTTTAAGCTCAAGGTTTATTAATTTTTTTATTTTCATAAATCTTATAAAGCAGTTGTATCCCACCTTGCTAATAAAGTATTACTGCTTGTTTATTGTCTTACACAAACTATTAATAACAGTGATTTAACATTTCTGAGTAATTAGGGTAGTTACCTTCTGTTCACCACTTATACCTTTTAAAGTAGACCATTTTGGTCAGCTCATTAAATTTCCCAGTCCCTGTTCATCTGCTGTGTTTTTAAATTTTAGCCTGATTAGGACTTTTGATCGGAGGGATTTTTCTTGCTTCATCTTTATTCTTCTGTTTCTGATTGGCAGGGTGCATATTTTGCATGGAAAGCCACAGCAATGGGGAAGAACTACGTGAACGGAAAAACATTCCTTGAAAAAAGGTACAATTGTTCATTTCTACGGGCTGCCTTAGAGATCATCTGTGAATTGTATCCCCCCCACTATTCTGTATCAAATATCACATATCAGTCATGCTCTAATGAACACATTAATAGCATATGGTTGATGCGTTTAGTATGTTGTGTTGACACCGCTCTTTCAGTTTAATAATGGAGTTACTCAACAATAGTTCTGAATGAGCACTTTGTTTTTGTTCTCCAGGTATAACAATGACCTGGAACTGGAAGATGCTATCCACACAGCTATCTTGACCTTGAAGGTACGCTGTTCCTTATTAAAATATTTAAGATGTTCAAATCTTATCTCACTGATACTATGTTTCTTCTTTAAAAAAAATTTATTCACACTCATCACACATTCATGTTTCAGGAGAGTTTTGAAGGTCAGATGACAGAGGAAAACATCGAGGTGGGGATCTGTAATGAGGCCGGCTTCAAAAGACTTACCCCAGCGGAGGTGAAAGACTACCTGGCAGCGATTGCTTGAACACACCCTCCCTGATGACGGAGCTTTCCGGCCACATTCAAGAAGACATAACTGCACAGTAGCCAACTGTCTCATGCCACATTTTTGTTAACCATAGTCATTTAGTTTGGTAAACAGTGTTTGCCTTAAAACATGAGATGATACCTGCAATAAATTCCCTTTATTCAAGATAACTGACATAATCTGACAGAGTGAGAAGGCCTTTTTTTGAGATATTGAAAAATACCTTTTCACTCACCTTTTCAAGTGACAGACTTGCGTGAGGAACCTGTACATCTACCACTCACATCTACATTGTTTGAACCCCATCAGTTGATATATGATTGATAAGAGGTTATCACAGAATAATTTGAGTTTGTTGTCAAATATGTTTCTCACTACTGTGAAATGTGGCAGTTGGCTAATGTGCATATGAAAATGAATGTGGGCTCTGATGAGTAAAATCTCAAGTCTTTCATTGAATCCTTCTATGCTCAATTCATTGTGGTGGGGGGGGAGCTTCTGGTCTTAATAGAGAGAAAGAAAAATTACAATGAGGAAAAGGCAGTTTGTTACTTGGGACCAAAAAGAGCTCTGGTCTCTGGTTGAATTTATTCATCCTGAACTTTTCCCCTTCTAATCTCCTGACCGCTCTTCAAAAGAAACACACTAGTATGGATGTAAGAAGAAATTGAGCTGGTAGAGAGGAATCAATGAAAAAAAAAAAGAGATTTTACTGTCGGCTTCTTTTTGCTTGTACAGCAGTTTTTCACAATGTACTCTGATTTTTTTCAGGCTAGAATCAGTTCTAGAGTTTGTATTTTCTCCTCTGGTATCTGTCACTCATTCAAATAAAAGATGGCGAGTTGATGTCGAGTCTGTGGATTTGAATTTGTATGCGATACGGTTTAGTAAGAGCAATATTATATACAAAAATATAAGTATTTAATTGGCGAATGTACCCGTCAAGACGTGGTTGGTGTACAGGATGAGCTGTAGCATGTACGCCCCTTTGAGCTGAGCGCGCTCTAACATTAACCGGAACACCTTTTCAAATGTTTTTGGTATTCCTCCGCCTGCGTTGCGTTTTAGTTACGTTTTAATTAGTAAAATAACCACTATTGTAACTATATGCACCGTTACCACTGAATGTTGCCCTATACCTGATGTAATCAAAAATCAAATCGATTTGACTGGTTGACGTAATTTATCATATTTGCAAAGATCTATTTTTCCTTGCGGTAGCTCAATAGCGTCTTACCTCACAACCTCCTGATGACGTTTATGGCGCCAGAAATCAAGGGGTTTAGTGTGGAGCTTGTGTGAGTGTCAGCTGGTGCCGATTCCCCGTTATCTGTGCTATGTTAGCGGTACCGTGAACGTTTAACATTTGATGCCGAATAGTGACGGGTACTCCGTCGTTCGTTAAAAGGTATAAGGCCGGGTTGGAGTCAAGATGGTGATACTACGCAGCAGCAGCGGCGGCGGTGGTGGTGTCGGAGCCGGCTCAGCTGCAACAACTCCAAAGAGGAGGTCGATGGAGTTGGATACTAGCGCCGAGTTTCTGTCGCTTCTTCCCGCGTCGCAAAGAAAGTCCGCCCGCCTGACGCGGTCCTCCCAGCAGGCCCTAGATGACAGCTTCAGCAGCCCTGAACACACCACGGCGAATAATGTAAGCATACACACCCAAGAGCGCTTTTAGATAGCTACATCTTCAATTTGTGTAAAAACTATAAATGGACATAACTTTGATGCGCTAGCCTCACTAGCACGCTAAGCTAAGCTAACTAGCTAGCTGTCTTGTCAGCATGACAAATTAACATTACTGACTTTCTTATGAATGAGAACACACAGTCTCTACTGATATTTTCCTGAATCAGACAGATTGAATAAAAAATAAAATAAATAATAATTATTAAATAAATAATAATTAAAAAAAATATATATTAAATAAATAAAATAAAAACAGACTGTTTGAATCAATCATTTTGCAATGAATGTTTACATCAAAATGACTTAATAAACAAATTATATTAATGTTTAGTTCGCTGTGTTAAAGCATGCTACAGGAGCAACATGTAATAAAGTATCTCTCATGGAGTTATATTTGTACAGGTTGTTCAATGGATGATCAGCTCATATTTGCATGTACTAATTCATTGATTTACTTGAACTCTTAAGTTCTTAATATATATTTTTTTACCTACTCTGTAAATCACATTAAAAAGTGTGCTTTAGTGTTAACATCTACATTTAGGAGGGTTGTTAACTTATGGTGAACACACACTAGTTGAATATATTCTGAGAGTAAGCAGGTTTTTTCTTACTTCTAGGACCTCAGTAACACAGGTTCAGCTGCACGGTGTCAACATGTAAATGAAAAAAATGACATAAATAAACTACCGGTACCCATTTGTGAAATTAAAAGTTATAACATTAAGTAACATTGCTTCTAAAATGAAGTGAAATTAATAAAAAGGTCCCTTTCCTGCATAACATAAAACAAACAGCTGTGTATTTTGTTGTACAGATAGTTTTGCTTAGAGGGAGAGACAGCAGCCCCTTTCAGACTGCTTTTTCCACAAGAATTCAGCTCAGCGGTCATCAAGTCTTTTTACATTTATATTGATTCCGCCACGGCGTAATATTGGTGTCCCAGTCTGTGAATTCACATTGACCAGTCGAATGGGTGCTACACTTGCACACAGATCCCTGCACTGCCCAGCTGGCTCTGCTGATCCCATCTTCCCTCTGTTACTACCTCCAAAGATGGTACAGAGGGGGGATCTCTTCGTCCCCCAAATAATCCTTTGCAACATTCAGATTGAAGGAGACGCATCACAGGGCTGTAAATATTGAGGCTTGAAATGGCAGTCTAAATAGGGTTAGTAAGACTAAGTCAATATATCGCCCAGCCCTATATGAACCCATGACATTTTTACAAAGAAAGTTGTGTCGTTAAGTCTTTCTTTGTTTATCTTGCACACTGTACATTACCTTGAGACTCAAGCTTTGTAGAAATCAATAAATATTCTCAATCTGTGCCCATGATTAAATACTTATACCAGATTAATTTCCAACTCAAACTAGCAATCCTTCAAATGTGTGAACTATAAAATCTTAATTTGACTCTACCAGGGACATGCTGATATGAAGCAGGATGAGAGAAGTGGTCTCCAGCACTCTCTGAGGACCAGAGGACAGAGAGTTAAACTAGAGGTCTCTTTTGCTGAAATGGAACCACAGACCAGCTCACCTGTGAATGAAGACAAGATTGGAGGATCGTGCACCAGGTAATGCAAGCCCTCCCACTTTAATGTTATTGGCCCTTTTTACCAGCTGGTCTCTTAGGCCTGTTTTTGTTGGATCCCTCAGTTACTTTGATTTAAATTGTTTGGCATTGAGTAAGTCTGTCCTCCTTTTCTTGCTGCTACCATCTAAAAGCCCTGCATGTACATGATGTGCGCTTAAGCACCATCTTTCTACAAAATCAGTTTTTCTGGAAGTTAAGAGAGATGAGATGTGTTTATGGATTGTCTTACCCTTCAACCTTTCCAGCAAAATGTTCATAATCAACCTTAGCAAGTCACCCTCTTGTGTTTCTTACCTTCTGTGGCAAAATTTGATGAAAAAAGAACCTCTGGCAAAAGAATATCATTAATTGTTTATGTTTTTTGTCTGCTGTTTGGAACCTATATATTTTACTGTGATGTCATTTTTATCAATAAATGATACATTGGGGATAAATTATTTTTGAGTGGAAATAACTACACATTTTTTACATTCAAATAATGATTATTGATAAAATGAATATTGTGAGAAGAATCTAATGTTTTTTTGTCATTCCTCCTATAAGAAAATCTTCCAGGCTGCAGAGAGATGGAAAAGCATCCATTGGCCAACAGCAAGCAGGTAAAGCTCACTACAGTAAATGTTTTTCTTTCAGATGATCTCTGAAGCTTTTTTTTTTTTCAGCAGCATTTGGTTTGAAGAAGGGCATATACAACTATTAAGCTTCAAACTAACTTTTTCAACTGATGCTCCAGATGTTCCAGATGAAGTGGAGGGGTCCTCCACCCCTAAGAGGAGTCGCTTTAACCTACAAAGCCCTGAAGAGGAGGAGGATGAAGAGGAGAATCGCTCTGTGCGACGAAGTTCCCAAATCCCAAGAAACGGACTGAATTCCCGGAACCAGTCAGTGCTCTATGACAGACTCATCACCAAGTGCGTTCAACAATATTTACTCCACTTTCTCTTTTATTCTCACTTGAGGCTTCAGGTCAAATGAAGCTAGTCCATAACCCCACCTAGTTTCTCACCAACAGACTAGCATACATCATGGGTATTGATTTGAAGCAAATGAGTTATAATATTTTGGACAAAGTTTGATGAAAACCTTCCTCCTCTGATTGTCCCTCAGCACTGCTGAAGCTGTTCTTCAGAAGATGGACGACATGCAGAAGATGAGACGCAGACTGAGGAGCAGAGATAGAGACACTCAAGAAGAGGTGATGACACACAAGAATGTTGTGTTGTATAATCCTATTGTTAGCTTTAAGACAGAGAATTTATCAGCAACCTGTTTTGTCCGAGCAGCTCGGCATGTACACCAGGGGCAGGATGCTGAGGTCTCTGAGGACGAACGTTGAGAGTAAAGACACAGAGGAGGAGAACCAAGGTGAGCTGGATTAGGTGTATCATAACAAGGCAAATAGCCTTATGGGGAATACCTACAGGGCATACTGGTTTGGGCCAGGAGGTTCAGAAAATGAATACATACTTCTATACACCTGAGGGCTTTAATACTAACGCCAGAAGAAACGTCTTGCATACACCATAAAGGTTTCTTCATGTTAGATTGTTTTGCTGTCACAGCAGAGATTCAGCAGAGCAGACTTTAAAAATGATTCTAGTTAATAAAAAGTCCAGAAACTAAAACTGGGCGTTCACACAAATGGTGTTTGTTTCTTCTTTTCTTCCCTATAACAGGAGGGGATGAGGACGAGGGGGATCACGAAGAAGAGGAGGAGGAAGAGGGAGAAGATGAAGAGGAGGAGGAAGATGATGAAGACGGCGAGGATGAGGAAGAAGAAAATCAGAGACGCTATGACTTCAGACAGCGAAAGACTGTGGTTCGCTACCAGGCTCCACAGGATGGTACTGCTGCAATTAAACTTAATAGTGTGGTTTTAAACGAAGATAATACAGCCTTTGAAACACTGAGACTTGATACTTTGAGTTTTTGGTCATGTGCCTATTTTATTAAGTACTGTACTGTTTATTTATCTAATAAATTAGAGTTTGATAAGACTTCTTCTTTTTTCTTTTTTAGAACCTAGAGAGCCCAGAAAACGTAGCATGTACTTCAAGGATCACTCGTCTCCGACCAGGCGTAGGTTTAGGTTCAGCTCCACAGCCCCCAGGAGCCCCTACAACAGAAGAAGAACCAACAGGTGAGTTTTAAATTTCAGCTAATCTGCCTTTCCTCTGAAACAAAACATCTGCTATGGAGTCATTTGTTCTTCAGAAACCCTTGACAGTCTGATTCATACATTTGACGATCCTTTTAAAAATGCCTTTGAAGTCAGCAACAGTGGTCTTAGACCTGGATCACCCACTCATAATGGTTCCTAAATTTGTAATTTTTTCCCCCTGATTCTCTTCTAACCAACCTAAGGAGTAGTTCTGAGAGGTAAGACACTCACTGCTTGTCCTTGTCTGTGTTATTGTTAGTGTGTAGTCTGTTTTGGAATGCTGACACTGTAGTTGTTGATAGTTCAGCACACTTGGGAGACACTGTGGTTGAAGTGTTTACAGTGAACCAGACCTCACTGGGATCAAGTCAAGGAAAGGCACTTACCGTAAGATCCGGTGTATAAGATGCACTTTTAATACCTATTTTTTCGTTTCAAAAGTTGGCTGCGTCTTATACACCGGTGCGACCAATACACCAGTATAAAATACTGAAACACGTGCCGTCATTACAGCGGGTGCAGCAGCCCCTATCACTGTGACCTGAAGTGATTAAAAACCCATCCCCGTTTCCCGTGTATTGAAAGCTGAGTGCACGCTGTGCTGGGAAAGACAGCGACACAGACCAGGCTGGCTGCGCGACTTATTTCACATCTTTTCTCCCTCACGAGGTCATAATCATGCATTTACAGAAACAGTGGTATAATGTTCCGGAAATAAACCTTGTGGAGTTCACTTTTGATTGAAAGACTCCTATAATAAAGTTAAAGAGTGACCAGCTGAGTCGGGCAGCGCGACTTGCAAGCTAGGAATCTGTGCCTCTGCCAACTTTCCCAGCAGCAGCAGGCTGAGAGCTCAACTACCGTACTGTAGCTAGTAGGAGCGCAAACTCCCGAAAGTGAAAACAGATGGAACTAAAAGAGCGACACAGCTGCACAGAAACTGCATGTTGTAGACATCACTGAACACAATATAAATCCTCACGCAGGAAAACAGTTTAAAGTTTGTTTTTTTTCTCCCAAAGAGACCTTAAAAACAGGGTGCGTCTTATACACCGGTGCGACTTATACACTGGATTTTACGTTAATTAGTAATTAAAAAACAACAGGAGTAGACTCAGACAACAGATGGGTGTGAGACTCAGTCGTTTTCATTTTATTTATATCGCACCAATTCAGTTTTAACAGGGCTAGACCATGCTCTGTGTCATGTTATTTACAGAGACCTACCAGTAGTCCATCATGAGCACAGCACTTAGCAAGCAACAGTGGTGAGGAAAAGCTTCCTTTTATCAAGCAGAAACGTCCAGCAGAACGGGACTCGTGTTGAACAATCGGAGCAAAAACAACAAGAATAGTTCAAACCAACTTGTGTCTACGTTGTCAATACTAATGAAAAAACGACGTGTGCTATTAGCAGGAACAGCAAAGTAATGATAATAGACATGGACTGCCTCAATCCAGGTATTCACGTTTCAAAGAAATGACAATTAAAGGAAACCAATCATAACTTAATGCTAATAACACATTGGGCCTCATGTCCACATAGTTTTTCTCTGAGCCAATGAGGAGAGAGCATTTGCAGCAGCAGGCCCTGTTGATGTCACCGGCTCTCTTTTCAAATAATAATAAAATAATAAAATGTTGCCTCATATGTTTCTCTCCTATGTATTGTGCCCTTTACTCACATCCTCCTTACCCGGTGTCCAGACAAAGTAGAAGGGAAAGCATCCTCCGTTTGATGCTCATAGTGAAGGGGGAAAACATTTCTTAATTATAAAACATTCGGTAAATAAGTATTTCCCAAGAGAGCAAAGGCCAAACAAAAAGAAAAGGCCTCATAATTAAATAAGTATAGATACATAATTCTATCAAACCAAAAGCTTAAAAAAAATCGAATAAAAAGTTTAAATAACCGCTTTGGGTCTGTGAGAGGGAACCTGTGTTTCTCACCTGGTGTGTCATTCATGCATGGTGGCAGTGTCATTTTAAGGTGTTGGATGAGTCCTGTACAGAATCAAACACTAGCTTTTTTTTTTGTTTCCGATAACTGCTGTGTCACCAACATGAATTTACATAAAACATTAATACCTATAAACTACTGACTGGTAATAATGTTCCGTTTGTTTCTTTGTCCTGATATTGGTCAAGAGTTGTTTGTAAATACAAAGTACCTTCACTCGCTAGCATTGAGGGATGAATAATAACGAATACAAAAAATGTAGCTTACAGGAATCACAACCTAAATAGTGCTTTGATTGTTTGCAGGAGGAGACATGCCATCCACAGCAGCGACTCCACCTCCTCCTCTTCAGACGAAGAGCAATTCCAGAGACGGAGAAGTAAAAACAGGAGCAGGCCGGTCAACAGGTGAGAGCAGCAGCTGTCATTCAGTACAGGTTACAGGTAAAAGATGATGACAGCAGTGCTTTTGAGCACGAGGGAAACACAAAGGGTTTTTACTGATGTGCCTCTATTGATGTAAAGGTGGATGAACCAATGACTTAAAGGCTTTATATGTGATTTTTTGATCCAGCAGATGTCGCCCTTGAGCACCAGCATGAAACCAAAACAACTTGGTCTGCATTGTTGTGTTAGCATGCCAATGCTAGCGATCTTTATTATGCTCGTATCTTCACACTGCATGTAAATTTACCTGAAATGAGCGTGATCTAGAAACACAGTTAACCAGTGAGTACAGTATGTTATTCTTCTTTTCTCTAGTCCCTCAATTAAACAACTTTTATACGTGAGGGGAGGAGTCAGTCGCAGTCCCGGTGATGTAAACAAACTGAAGATAGGACTCTGAAAACATCACAGACAGTGGGACTCGAGTGTTACACCCATTGTAGACAGTCATGACTCACAGAGTTATTATGATATACTTGATTTCTATTATATTGAAGTGTGAAAAATCACACAGAAAGCCTTTAAACAACCCTTAGTGTAATGGTCTCCTGTTACAATGACAACTTTCAGTGAACACTATGGAATAGTATTTATATTTTTATGAAGTATGTCTTTATTATTATAAAAATCCCTCCTGGAAATAACGCCTTGAATCTTAAAAGTGTCTAAATGTTTTTTCCTCCAGATGTCTGCCTATGAACCTTGTGAAAGAAGACCTGCTGGGGATCCACAAGGACCGCATGAAAATCGGAGCGAGCCTCGCTGATGTGGACCCCATGCAAATAGACAAGACGGTAACTTGACTGGCCTGAATATTTCATCCAGAGTACAAGACAGTATAAAGGCACTACAGAGAGTTTAAAAAAAGTTACGAGATTTACTGAATGATATTGAATTATAGTGAAAGAGGAGAAATCTAGAAGAGTTTGTGTTTCACTGACACATTAATGACATTTGTAATAATGTGAAAAAACAATCCAAACACGACTCTACTTGTCATCCAGGTGCGTTTTGAAAGCATCGGAGGTTTGAGCAGGCACATCTCAGCGCTGAAGGAAATGGTGGTCTTCCCTCTGCTCTACCCGGAAGTCTTTGAGAGATTCAAGATACAACCTCCAAGGTAAACAATGTGTTTGCAAGGATTTAAGTTCTCCATCACATAGGCTGAATTCTGTCAATTTCCTATTTATAATGATATTTATGGTCAGTGATGATCAGACATGAGAAGAAATATAGCAAAGAACGGTAGAGTAGTGTTTTTTTACATGGCCAGACAAACAGAATCCTCTCTTTTAAATTTGAGGTAAAAACTTGCTAACTGTTTCCATGTCTTGGTTTTCTTCTTGCAGCCTCAGGCTTTGTGACATTTATGTGACATTTACACAGACCAATAATACCCACTTTTGGCCGTTGTCATGTTTCCTCTTGTCTTTAGGGGTTGTCTATTTTACGGTCCTCCAGGCACAGGAAAAACCCTTGTAGCCAGAGCGCTGGCCAATGAGTGCAGTCAGGACGAAAGAAAGGTGTCTTTCTTTATGAGGAAAGGAGCGGACTGCCTTAGCAAGTGGGTGGGAGAATCAGAGAGACAGCTACGACTGCTTTTTGATCAGGTAAACCAAACTAAGCTCCTTACCCAAACTATTCATTTGCGATTTACATTAAACTGAGTAAAAGTCTGTTCATTAAAATCTCATCAGTGCTATAGGTAATGAAGCGTGTAACTGATACTCTTGAACTGATCCTAGGCTTACCAGATGCGTCCGTCCATCATATTCTTTGATGAGATTGATGGTTTGGCTCCAGTCAGATCCAGTCGTCAGGACCAGATCCACAGGTGAGCAGCCCTCCTGCTCTTACTTTCTATAGTATGTGTGTGATGATTATACTGAAGTTAGAGAGTACAAAGTGGAAGTAGTTTTCATTCTGCATATAGCCTTCACCCTCCTGACCACTGGTTTTCAAAGATCACTGGCCCGACCATTGTAACCGCTGGCCCAGGAACGTTGAAAAATTAAAGTCACCAATTTACTCTTGAACCATTCAGATGCTAGAGTAAATTACAACTTTTATTTAATTAATTGAGCTCTAATTATACAAATATTGTGTATTTTTCTTATATTTATGTGTTCATGTTTATTCACCATGCTGGTAACTTAAGAGTCTACTTAATCTGATATTTATGAGGCTGTGACAGATCTGGAATTGTTATGATCATCTTTCTCTCCTTTCTTCTGTGAGAAACTCTTCATCCTTAGATCTTTACTTTGAACGTGCAATCAGCTCGACATTATAACTGGCCCGCTGGCCCGGACGAATGATTGACAGAGTCCGGGCCAGCGGGCCAGGTATAATGTCGAGCCCTGCATTATTACGATTTCATGAAAATTCTTTTTTATTTTCCGATGGTAAATTAACTTGAGCTTGTTTAGCGCATTTTACAGCACAGGTCCCACCACAATAACACACTGATTGCAGTATCAGCTAATCCATTCATACACACTCACACTCCACAGTTTGGGGTTCAGGGCCTTCCCAAGGACACTTGAAAAAATAAGTTTAAAACCACATCTTTCTGTTTATGTAGCTCCATTGTGTCAACACTGCTGGCTCTCATGGATGGATTAGATGGAAGAGGAGAGGTTGTTGTGATCGGAGCTACAAACAGACTGGACTCCATTGACCCAGCTCTGAGGAGACCTGGACGCTTCGACAGAGAGTTCCTATTCGGCCTGCCGGACAGAGAGGTGAGGAACTGGAGATGCCCGTTCAAGCCAATCAAAGATAATACAGCAGACCGATTGGCATGATGATTGCCATCCAATCGGATGGCAGTCACATAATCTTATTGGGCTTGAAATGTAAGGTTTTCATCTTCGACCAACACCAAAAACTCTGTGATCTTATGTTGTATGTCAGGCAAGGAAGGACATTCTGAAGATCCATACCAGACAGTGGACTCCACCACCTTCTGACATTTTTCTGGAAGAGTTGGCAGATAAATGTGTTGGTATGTATGTAAAATACATTAACAGTTTGTAAATGATACACCTTTCTGAACTCAGGCTTCCTTTAAAGCATGGATAACTATAGCATTTGGTTTGACTCATTTACAGGTCGTGATAAGCATTGAAAAAAGGGCATGGAAAAAGCATTTGTTTTTCAGACTCTAATAGCAATAGCAATTGTAAGTGAAGCACAGAAGCAGGGATTTTATTCATATGATCACAGTGTGATCACAACAACGTGTCTTTCTCTCCTCATGCCAGGTTATTGTGGAGCAGACATAAAGGCAGTGTGTTCAGAGGCTGCTCTGTGTGCACTGCGACGCCGCTATCCACAGATCTATTCCTCATCACAGAAACTTGTGCTCGATGTCAACTCAATCGCTATCACTAACAAAGACTTCATGTGTGCCATGTCCAAGATGGTGCCTGCTGCTCAGAGGTATGACCAAATAAAACTGAAGTATATTTTTATTTAGTGCCATCCCTTGATTTGGACTGTAACATTTGTTCAAGTTGCCTGGTTCTTATGTACCTATTGTGCTGATGGTGATCCTCAGGGCAGTAGTGTCACCAGCCAAAGCCCTGATACCGGCCATTCGTCCTCTGCTGAGCGCTGCCCTGCAGAACATCCTGACCACAGTCAGCAGAGTGTTTCCACATGCTGAGCAGGGCTTGAAGAGGAGGAGGGAACAAGGTACAGTCTCTTTATCTTTGTTGGTCTGTTGTGCATTCAGACATGGCCTCTGTTTTCATGATCATATTATTATATATATTTATTTTTATGCATAATACTCTATTTTCCCAAAGTGTGTGGAGTATTCATTTTCCTTATTGGAGCACGAGTCAGCTATCAGGAGTAACAGCTGTAATGTGTCTGCTTGTTTGTTTGTCTCCAGATGTGGGCTGTGGTGTGTCTGAGGATGATCTGATGTTCAGTGAGGATGAGGAGTCAGGGGTCCTCCCTGGTGGACAGACCTCTCTCTCCCAACTCAAAACACCTGCTGCCAATGGACTCCTAAACTTCAGCAGGTTGGTGAGACAGTCACAAAAGAGTTTTTCAAACTATTTATTCTTTGATATTGTTTTTTAATATATTATTTTAAATCCAATCTAAATCATAGTTCTATATATGGGTAACACTCACCTGGGTAGTTTACACTTTGGAGTTATTAAACTTGTCTCCCTAAATCTTAGCTGTGAGCCATTCTGTGTCCCAGTGACACAGTGACTTTTTTTGTATTTCTTTCAGGCAGATTACTGAGCCCTGAAAAATTCAATGGAAATAGATCTGAATGTTTCCGTCACTTTATGGAATCACTTTAACTTTCCATGCATCTCTGTATGTCTCCTTGTGTAGGAGTGTCCTGAGCCATCCAACCTCCTACCGACCCAGACTGCTGTTGCAGGGCAGACCAGGCTCAGGTCAGAGCGCACACCTAGCTCCTGCTCTCCTTCACGCTCTGGAGAAATTCACTGTGTATACACTGGACATGGCCGTGCTGTTTGGAGCTAGTGCTACTGCACCAGAAGAGACTTGTGCTCAGGTAAATAAGACACTGATTCTAAAAATAATACACAGGTATGTTATTATTCATGCACATATTTAACTACATTTCAGTTCAGGACATTATTGCACAGAAATGAGGTGGACTCCTGGAAGTCACTCTTGCAGCCTTGTCAAATTCAGTGTGTCCTCTTTGGTGGACCTCACTGGCCAAAATGGCTGCCACAGAAACTGTAGTTCATGGGCCCCACCTCCTTACATTGTGGGGAGTGGGGATAAATATGTACTACAGACAAAAACTTGAACGGGCCATGACCATGGCAGAGATATAGAGTTTTAACTTCACATTTACACAGGATGAAAAATCATACACATCTGGATTTTTGATGTATTCTGTAATTCAAAAATTGTTATTGTATTCATTAGTTGCTTTAAAAAGACTTAAATCATTCATCATCAATGTGTGAGGTCAAACTAGTTATCTCTTTAACTTTAGTCAAACAAAACTAAAACATTTCCTTAGGTTAATTTGTTCATTAGTTTTTATTGAGCCTTCTTCATGTCGTGTGAACATGCAGCTGTTCTCTATGCTTCTCTGTAGATTTGCTCCAACTTTTAGATATACTGTATATATGTGTGTACAGTTAATTGATGTGTGTTTCATGTATGTATCGTGTGTTTTTGCAGATTTTTGTTGAAGCCAAGAGGACGTCCCCCAGTATCCTGTACATCCCTCACATTGGACAGTGGTGGGAAACTGTGGGTCCGGCTTTAAAAGCCACCTTCCTCAGCCTGCTCAGCTCAATCCCTGCCTTTGCACCAATACTGCTTCTGGCTACATGTAGCCTGCAATATGAACAACTCAGTGTGGAGGTACGGAAAGAAGAGAGGTGTTGCATTAGAGCATTGAACACAGCTCCCTCTGACAGTCAAGAAAGTTTTTATCAAGTTTTCTCTAATTTTTCTCAACTCAGGTGCAGGAGTTGTTTCGAGTGGAGTATGGAGAGGTTTTCCATGTCCAGGTCCCAACCAATAGAGAAAGAAGAAACTTCTTTGAGGATTTGATCCTCAATCAGGCTGCCAAGGCCCCCTCCTCTAAAAAGAAAGCTGGTGAGAAATAGAAGAATGCTTCAGTAAAATACAGATCCAGGCTAGCTTTGTGGGATCTGTAGTTGAATTAAGCTGTTGTGCTCTTTAAGCTGACAGTAAGCATGGCAGTGTAAAGGGTTTGTACTTGATGTAAACTTTTTCATTAATGATATGAGGGGATTTTAGAGATCCTGAGGTTAAATTTGCTTACATCTGATTTCTATGTTTATATCAACTCCTTCCTCAACTGTGTGCATCTATTAACCCTCCAATTCACTTCAGTGCTCAGAGCCCTGGAGGTGCTTCCTGTTGCCCCAGCGCCTCCCCGACGTCAGCTGACAGAAGAGGAGACCCAGAGACTGGAGGAGCAGGAGGAAGATACCCTCAGGGAGCTCCGTCTCTTTCTACGTGATGTCACCAACCGCCTGTCACTGGATAAACGTTTCAAGGCTTTTACGAAGCCTGTGGATTTAGAAGAGGTAGCTGTTACACCAACTTCAGTTACGTCATTTACTGTCTTAATAAAGCAGTGAGAATAATGTCTGAAGTTAAAGTGGTGATCAGATTGATCACTTTAACACATAGTTGTACTCAAAGCCGCCTCTTATTCATGTGTTTCAGGTGCCAGATTACGCAGAGGTGATCAAGAAGCCAATGGACCTGTCGACAGTCCTCTCCAATGTTGACCTCCATAAGTTTGCGACAGTCAAAGAGTTCCTTCAGGATGTGGACCTTATCTGGCAGAATGCCCTCGAGTACAACCCAGACAGAGACCCCTCAGGTTAGCACAAAGAAAATTCACAGTCTTAATACCTATCAGTACTTATTAGTAGAATTAGACAGATTTCTAATTTAAATTTCTGTTTTACTTATCTGTGGCTCTGTGCTTCTCCTCCAGACCGTCAGATCCGCCACAGAGCATGTGCGTTGAAGGACACGGTGCATGCTATCATTAGAGATGAACTGGATGAAGATTTTGAGAAGATTTGTGAGGAGATCAAAGTGTCGCGGAGCACAAGAGGTGGATGTTGTGTATTTGTGCATATAGTTATAAGATTGTTTTGATAACACTGACACCCTGTGTAGACCAAACTGTAATATATTAACCAGGGTAGAACAGAATGTGATGTTACCACCAGTAAATAATTTTCCTCTTTGCTGACTGACCAGCTTTGTCATTCAGGTCACATCACATTATACTGAAGTAATAAAAGCTTGTGTATATTGGCTACTCCATTTTAATATATAACAAGACTGCACTATTAAATTAAAACTTCAGTTTCACAGTTTAAAATTTGTTACGGTGGAATTAAACAGTTTCATGTTGTAGAATTATCTTTTCTTTCTTTTTTTTTAAACAACAACATTTGCTTTCTCTTTTGGCCACCACAGATTGCGCTACGGTCCGATTTGCTCCGTCCTTTTACCACGTCCTGCCCAAACTGCCCAAACCTCCTGCTGATGAAATGACCCCACAAAGAGAGCAGGCCAGACCCACAGCTGCTGTTACTCCAACTACAAGTGCCTCCATTCCTGCAGTTCTTAAAAACTCAGGTGAAGACTACAAGATTAGACAAAAATTTAATGTTTTTAATAAAATAATATGAAATATATACTCACTCCTTTTTTGTCACATTAGTGCAAAAGAAGAAAAGGCGGAGGAGTCGCTGGTCCTCAGGCGTCTACGCTAAGAAGAAGTCTTCGTCCTCTCCTCACACATCCAGAGAGGATGCACACTTGGGGTCTGATGACGAAGAGGAAGATGGGGATGATGAGGAGGAGGTTGAGACAGGAGAAGGAGTAGAGGTTAAAGAGAGGGATCAGGAGGATCAGATGGTGGTTGATGTAGAGCCTGGGTCTGCACCAGCTCAGGAGGGAAGCGAGGAGATGAGTCAAGCTGCTGAAGATGAGGTGTCTGTGTGTGAAACAGAGAAATCAAAAAATGAAGACAAGATGCAGGATGAACGAGAAAAGGAGGAGGAAACTGTTACAGATCAACAAAGACAGTCAGAGGAAAACACATTGTTGAAAGAGGCAGAAAATGATAAAAGTGAAACCACTTCAGTGAACACTAATAAGGATAGCCACACTGAGGCAGAAGGAGATACCCAGGATCAATCCATCACAGAGAAGAGGGAGCAAACTAGTAGCCAAAAGCTGACCAAAGCTGAGACTGACAAGTGTAAAACTGTAATGGAGACAGATAATGGGAGCAACCATGAATTCACTTCAGTGGAGGCAGAGGAGAGCAGCCCAATGGAGATGGAAGCAACAGAAACTCCTGCAGCTATCAGAGGAGAGGAGGACACAGGAGCAGGTTGGATATTTAAACTTTCATAAAGACTTGCACTTAACATTAAAGTGGAAAAAACACTCATTTAAATCACTTAAACCTGAGCACAAGAAAGTTAAAGGACTGTTCATCAGATCGTGAGATGTAGCCAATGTGTCAACGTGAATAAATCAGCAGATTGTCATCATTTATAGCAGTTTTAACACTTGGTGTGTGTGTTTTTTTGTGTCAGAGCGGTGTGTAAGGCGCATTACTCGCGCCCTAAAAAACACAGTGTTGCAGCAGCAGATGATAGACGTGGACAAAGCTCTGCAGATCCTGGACCAAGAAACTCCTCTTCTGGTGGTGGATAGAGACAAATTAAAGGTGTGTATGATATCATGGTTGTCCGTCTTATTTTCTGTATTATTTTAATGTCTTGTCCTTACTTTCTGCGGTAACATAACATTTTTATTTTCTCATCCTGCACTCAGACTTTTTCCCCACAGGAGAGTAAGAAGTTAGACAAGTAATAATGTAATCTGCTCATCGTTCCACTCTTTTCTGCCCGACTCTCAGGAGCTGTTGGAGAAAGTTGTGTCAAAGACTGAAGGCTACGAGGTCTACAAGCTGGAGAAACTTTATGCTCTACTCTGCCAGAGCATCTACAGACACAGGCGAGACTACAACAAAACTGCACTAACACAGGTTGGTATTGGTTTGAACTGGTACAAACTGGTAACATTTAGTAGATGGTTTGTTCGTCTGGACTGCTTCCATGTATCTAATCTATTGTCCTCTACTGGTCTTCTCATCTGAATTAGGAGCTGGAACAAGAGATTGAAGACTTCTGTTGACCCTTCTAGAGGAAAATGTGACCATTTTTAAATGACACTCATCACCCTCTTTGTAAATATACAAACACTGGTTCTATTTTCATAGATATCTACAGGCACTTCTATTTGAGTATTAGCTAACAAACTTCATATTACCTCTTCTGTCTATATTTAATTAAATGTTTTTCTCTAAATATCACCAGGTGTCTTTTTTTGTACTTAAGATTAAGACTACAACTGTTAGTAGTAGAAAATGAGTTATGTCAAAGCATAAAGTGATATTTTCCAGAGCGTATGAATCCCTGATTCAATGGACCTCTACAGTGTGCATGACATTTGTATTAGAAATTATCAGGATTTCTCTTAACTCCTGTTTGTGTGCTGCAACAAGTTTTTCCCCATATGTGTGTGTATGTATGTAAACATGTGTTGTGCTTGACTTTGAAAGACATGTCATGTGTGACATGTGCCTAGTTGATAGTTTGAAGCCTTGACTGGTTGAGAAAACATTGGTGTGGTGAAAAAAGAATGAAGATGCATCCCTGGCCTAGAGCCCATAATTTATGATTTTGTGAAAATACTAATTTTGTACCTACATTAGCTGTGTAAAAAGTAAAATAAAATAAGGAAATGGAAGTGGCATCCCTTCAGGTATCTTGTTTTGTCCAGTGACAGCAATGTTTTTAACAACCTAACAAATGTTGGAGGATTACAAAGTTAATTTTTGAGAATTTAGGCATCAAAAATTTTCTCAGATCTAGGGACTTAAAGTCAGTAAATGGGTTTATCCTGTACTTCTTGGCCTTTTTCAAATCTGCCTATACAGCCCAGATATTTAATAGAAGCCATACACTGATCCCTTGTCTAGAATAGAATAGATGTTTATTGCCATTTTCACAGGTACAGGACAGTACAGGTACATTGGAATTCTTGTGTGTTTCTCCCTGAGTCAGCTTCTACAAATAAAAAGTTAAAATTATATATAAAATAGAATATCATTATAAGAAAAAAAGAGTAGAAAAGTAAAAATAAATAAGTTGTAGTAACAGCTAAGTGATTTAAAATAAACTGTACAGAAGTTATACACTGTATTAAAGTAAAGATATAATACAACAAATAACAAGGGGAACACTGTACAATGAAATGAAAATATAAATATGTTTTCTTATTGCACTTATCTCTTATTACACCTACATCATTTCATTAGTCTTATTCTCATTAGTACCTTACTATTGACATTTACACCTTGCCATGGCAAATTATTTCTGGTATTTGTTGATCTCACGTGGAAGTGTTAGTCAAACAATTGTAGCCTGATGACACAAATAACTCAAACTGAATTTAATATCCACCTACATTCACAGCTAGCTGCACATTTGGCTCAGGTATTAAAATATATATATATATATATATATATATATATATAAAAAGCATTGCAGCTGATAACATGAAAGTAGTCAAAGTGAGTGTCCACACAGCAAAGGCAGGAGGAGGTGCACTGACGGAAAACTTTGCAAAGTGTGTGTTGTCCTCAAATAGCTTCTCCTGCTGCCTCGGGAGGTCATGTAAGGACATTAGGAAGCCCATTTAGTTTACAGCACAAATTATAGTCAAGTTGGAAACTTCATTATTTTTTTCTGGACAGAGAAGAGCTGCACCTTTGTTCATACAGAGTATAATGTATTGGTATAAAATATTTTTGCTATTTTACGAATTTTTATAGCACCGACAGTCGCTGATGAATGACGTCACGACGTATCACAGCGATACAATGTCGCCGTTTGATCATCAAAGAATCTGCCGTTAAAAAATATCAGAGAATTAGGTCAGCAACTTATCAGAACCAGCGGCCACGTTATGAATGTTACAGCCATGTTTTTTGTTTTTAAACTTTTACAAACACTCGGCCTAGGAATAAAATAACCTGCTTACAACGAGGACAAGAGATGTCCGGTGATTCCAGCATCTGCAGACCGGGGCCGTAAGACCGTCAGACCGGGTCCGTCTGTCTGCCTGTCTACCTCCTCCTCCTCCTTCTCCTCCTCCTCCGGCTTCAGGAGACCCACAAGCCCCCCAAACAACGTTACCTCTACTGTAGTCCCGTCCCGGCTGGGGCTGAATGATTAGCCGGGGTACAGACTCCACAAAGCTGAATCTGGAGGCTTCATCTGCAGGAAATCACTTCTCGTCTCGGCTGCACATTTCAATAGTTGCAGTAAGTTTACCGCCATGCATGATCAATAATAAGAACTGCTAACACCGGCTAGTTGGGCCACCTCATAAACATGCTAAATGCTAGTTACCCTTTGTTTTCGTTTATGTCTTAAACCTTAACTTAAATTATATTAAATAAGCTGTCTAATTAACATTTAGATGCTAACTGTTAATGCAAATGATCTCATGATGGCAGTCTAGCAGCACAGCATGCTGTGGGCAACTGGCGGCCCCAATCAACCCTCAAGGTGGACCTCAGGTCAATTTTTATATATCTGTTAATTGGAAACATGAAGAAAACATGACAAAATCTGCCATGAAACCCAGAAATATGTCCATAATAATATTTGATCACTGGTATATGTTGAGTTAAATTTGAGACATAATTGATTGGAATCGTTTTTGTATCCTACAATTTGGCCCTTTGGCAGTGAGAATTAAATTAATGTGGCCCTTGTTGTGACCAAAGTTGCCCATCCCTGCTCTACACAGATAACCTTATAGTTAACTATCAACCTTCCAGGGACTGCACAAGAAAATTAGCCGGCATTGCTAAAGCTTGCACATTCACATGATGGACCAAAGTGCTGCTGTTTATTTACAGTATGGGGTTGCCCCCTCTTTAGTTCAACAAAAGCAGTTGATCCGTACCAGCAGTCACCTGGGTCACAGTTGGCTCCCAGCGTTTGTAGTGATGTCTTATATGTGGACATTACAATCGAGCATTTGTTACATCTATATCGAAGTGAATAAACGAGGCAGTAAATCAAACCATGCCCTGCCCTGGGGGATCAAAATAAACACACACAGACTCAAATGAGAATTGTTGTCACCAGGCAAAGTGGCACAAGTGTAGTTAAGACAATCTTAATAGTATCAAAGTGTTGCCTAAATGATTCTGGTGGAATAATATGAGACTTGTACATAAAGTCTATGTGCGTAACTTTTTTTTACACCTCCAATGTATTGTGGATTAAATGAAATAAGAAACGAGTGAATGAAGGGCTGCATAACAACTTAGTGCTCTAGTTTTATTGTTTTTTGTTGTCTTAGGAAATATAATTATTGTCTGAAATTACAAGTTCAAGCAGAGCTGCATCTAATAGCAAAATAACTGAAAATGACTGAACACTAAATATATGGTGCATCTCCAACTAGTTGAATCAGACATACAGGACTCCTTTTTTTAAATTCAAGTTTTAATAATAGTATATTATTGGTAATGTGTTGCTTGGTTATCAAAGGAACACAGATATTTTCCAAAGTTATTGACTTATTGTGTGTATCATTTAAACACACTTCACTGCAGTTGAAATAACTTTTATATGTATAATTGCTTAACCTGTGTTTTTAACTGTTTGGGTAATAATTGCCAGTCCCTTTTCAAATGTCTTTTTTTTTTATAAATGGCCTACAACACATTTATTTCCCATAATGCTGAATGAACTGCGACATTATATTTCCTCTCACTGAGCATTTCATGCACTGCTCACTTGTTGTGTGTATGGCTACATTATCAACAGGCTTACACACATTATTCTATTAAATATGATGCATTGAGTGGAAACTACTAGACACTATTTTCTGAGTTCATATTTGTATTTTGTGCTATTGTATTTTAGAAATTAAAGCAGATACAATTGAATCAGTATTTTTTTTTTTACTTAATCATAGATATGAGAATGGCTGCAAGTAACAGTGACTTTGACTACTGACTCCGTTTGTTATTTTGATAAGTAGTTTGTTACTTAGTTTAAAGCTATTTTCTAGTCTAGTTAAAGAGGCCTATCATAAAGCACCAAAGCTTAAAAGTACTTCCTTTGTCTTAGTAACAAATTATGAAGGTATTTAGTTTCTACTGAAACAAAGCAGAAGAAGAAAAACCTGTCCTCAGAGGTGTTAAGCTACTTTTGTTTTATAACCATAATGGAGCCACATAAGGCCAATCATTGAGAAAAGAATCTTATAACATCCTAAAAACTTCAACACTTTGCTCTCTAGTGGCACATCCCTAACCTGACATTTCTTATGTGTCATCCACCAGAAACGCAATAAGGACTCTAGCCTGACAGCACAACCTCCCAAGACATGTGAGCCTTGATCCTGCTAAGTTCATCTTTACCGAAAGCCGAAGTAGATAGAGTAGAGTTTGACTATGTCAAGCCGCAGAAAATCAACCACACCCTGCATGGTTCTGCCCTCCAATGTGGTGGAGCAGGAAGAGGGAGAGGAGAAAACAGAGAGGACAGAAGATGAAAAGAAAGAGCATGAGGAGGGCAACGTGAAGGAGGGACCAGATGAGGGGCCTACTGCAGAGGAGCTGGATAAGGCAGTAGTGGTCGTGCCTACACCTCCAGCTACAGGTAAGACTTGTACTGACACCTTCTATTCAGTATTTTCAGACATGCCAAGTGTGCTCTGGTTGCTGCACAATGACAACAAAAACTAGCTTTGGCTGTGTGAACACAAACTACAACCACAAACAGCTCCACACACCTTTTTGTCTTTACCGTAGCATGCTAAGCATAGCTTGCTTGATTGCCAATACAGCTTGGCTTCTGTGCCTCATTGATTGACTGTGAGAAACAGACGGTCATTGCTGAATCAGCTGCTAATTTAGCAAAAACACTGCTATAGCTGTCACCCCTTTTGATGACTGATGAAAAAAAACAACACAAGACTTGCGGTAGACAAATGTTTTTTTCTGACATATCCGCCGCCAGCACCGAGGGGCCACGCGGCCTCGGGTGCGGGGATCTCAAACCGGTAATGATCCTTCCGCTGGTTCTCCTTCACATTGAGATAGATAGATACTTGATTGATTCAGAGGGAAATTTAAAGCATCCAGTAGCAGCTTACAAAGACCCACTACATGATTCATTGCTTACATCTAACAAGTCACTCAACCCCCCCCCCCCCCCCCAAAGATTTAAAGAAACCCCTACACAGGTCAGAATGAAACATGTGCAATTACAAATTAGTCTTATTCCAAGAAAATGTACATAACCTGTGCAGGAATAACCTATGTATAATTGCAATTTAAAAACATAAAATTTGACCTACAGCTTCACAGCAGCAGTTATGTTGCAAGGTACAGCAGTGTCTAAGAGGAGGAAATGCACTTTTAAATGAGTCTGGGTATACTTGAAATGTTGTTTATATATTATTCTAGTGTCCAGCTGGAAGCTGTCTATTTAACACAGCTGTGCAGCTGAAAAATGAAAAATGCTTTAGTCTAAGAGCCACTGTGTGCTTTCCCTCTGCCATAACAGTGAGGGGTTGTTCAATCGTATGGCCAGATGGCACAGGAGACCCTGAAATATACACACCCATATACTAAAATAAATCTGAAATAGGGACTACATGAAAATGATATATCAACCTTAAGAATGTTTTTTTAAATCATAGATGAGCCCAGTGTCTCTGCTGAAGACATCAGCCCCTCACTGAAGCACAGCACTACAAGCCCTCCTGAGGACCCAAGCAGCGACCAGCCCGCCCAGGAACCACAGAACGATACACCCGAGGAGGGGGGCTCTGACCCTGCTGCCGTTGCTGCCATCTCTCTCAGCAAGACTCCAATCATGAGGATGAAGACCAAATCTGAACCCAAGAGGATCGCCGTGTCACTGAAGTCAGCAGATGAGGGCGTGGAGGGCTTTGGAGGGGGCGGAGAGGGAGAGGTGGGAGGAGAGCAGGAGCCCATCGAAGCTCCTCTTGGGCCGATGACGCCTGTTGAGATGCTACTGCATGACTCCATGAAGCTTGGGGGAGCAGGCCTGCTGGTCAGCCCACCCTCAGAGCAGCATAGGAAATCCTCTGCTTTAAACCCCACAGTGCTTCCTGCAGGCCTTGCACAGGTAGACAGTCTTAACATCTATCTATTGAGGCGTTATAAGTTAAGACATAATAACACTCCATCTAACCCTGTGACATATTAATGCATCTTTTTAAGACTTAACACCAGCCTCAAAAGCTTGACAGGGCTGCTGGGTATCAGAGTTTAACCTTGGCCTTGATGCAGCATTGTCTGTTGAGACCTTTCTTATCTCCTCCCTCCCTTTTTTTAGGTTCTTTCTGCTTTCCACACCCAGCAGAGTGCAGCTCAGCCACAGCTACTGATTCCCCTCAGCAGCATCCCCTCCTACAGTGCAGCTATGGACACCAACCCCCTACTGGGCAACACATACAAGAGGTTCCCTTACCCATCTATGGCTGAGATCAGCGGCCTGGCAGCACAGACACAGTTCACGGAGGAGCAGATCAAGGTAGAAGAAAGGTTTTTCACTTTGGGGGTGAATTAGGGGTACTTAAATGTTTTCCTTGCTGTTTGTCATGAAATGCTCCAAATGTTTTTGATCCACTCCCAGGTTTGGTTCTCCGCACAGCGGCTGAAGCATGGTGTGAGTTGGACTCCAGAGGAGGTTGAGGAGGCCAGGAGGAAACAGTTTAATGGAACAGTGCACACGGTGCCTCAGACCATCACAGTTATACCTGCTCATCAGCTGTCAGCTGCAAATGGCCTGCAGTCCATCCTTCAGACTTGCCAGATAGTGGGCCAGCCCGGCCTGGTGTTTACACAGGTGGGTAAGAAAGCAAAAGATGCTGTAAGACTCAGCTCTGACATTTCCTTCGTCTTGCACCCTGTCAGTGTAGGACTTTGATATGCTTTTGTTTAGTTTAAATTGAAATCAAAAATCCTTTGATCTTCTGCCCTCCTCAGTTGAAATTGACAGGAATTTGCTTTTATTTACTTATTTCATCTTTATTAAGCCAGGAAAAAACTTGAGATTGAAAATCTATTTTTTCAAGAGTTTCCTGGCCAAGACTGGCAGCGGCAAAATGAACAGCGTCTCTGACAAACAACAAGATTTAAGTGACTATTATTCAATTGTAATTGCAACTGATTTTAATTTCAATTAAACAATTTGATTAGCTGTGCTTTTACAGGACACAACCTCGTCTCACCTGCCTGCTAAAATATTTAACCAACTAAAATAGGGAGTATGACATGAGGGAGATACTGCTGTCTGATGACTTCACTAATCAAACATGGCTTCAAGATGAGAAGTCCCAAACCATTGTGTGTTTCTATCCTCAATAAGACTCTTTGTTTGATCTCTGTGTAGGTCGGCCCGGGAGGGAACCTCCCAGTGACCAGTCCCATCACTCTGACAGTGGCAGGTCTGCCTAGCCAGTCTCAGAGCTCCAGCAGAGGTTCCTGCCAGCCCACCCTGACAAACAGCGAGCTGAAACGGGCCACCACAGTGCAGCCCCCCTCTCTTTCTCCACAGGTGGGGATAGCAGTCGTGTGCTTTGTGCTTTCATTGCTGACAACTAGCAAGCTTTTTTATTATTTGGCCACATGGTGTTTCTGTCAGTTTATATATATATATATAATGTATGTCACATGCTTTTTGGCTTTTACCAAGAAGGTATTTGGTATCTGTGGCTGATGAGAAGTACTGAAGAAACCCTAGATTATTGTGTAACTCTCCTGCTTCTGTTTCTCAGGAGAACTCAGCCCTCAGCGTTGACACATTCAGTTTGCGACCAAAGAAGTCCAAAGAGCAGCTGGCCGAGCTGAAAGCCAGCTACCTGAAAAACCACTTTGTCACTGATGCAGAAATTGCCCGGCTGATGAAGGTCACCAACCTGACTAAGGGAGAGATCAAGAAGTGGTTCAGTGACACCAGGTACAACCAGCGCAACTCCAAAAATAGCCACGTCATCGTCTTCCACGACGGAGGGGGCAGAGGGGGTGGCACCTGTAGCAGCAGTGCTTCCACCACCATCATCATCGACTCCAGCGACGAGACTCCCACGTCTCCCCATCCTCCTCGGACTCCTCCTGTCAAGGAGAAGGAGTCGCGGCCAAAAACATGGAATCCGTTTCCGGATTTTACCCTGCAGAAGTTTAAGGAGAAGACTCCGGAGCAGCTGGTGGTGCTGGAGGAAAGTTTTGAGAAGGGTAGCACTCCTGCTGATGAAGAACTGAGCCGTCTGAGGACAGAGACTAAACTGACACGCAGGGAGATTGATGCCTGGTTCACTGAGAGACGGAAAATGCCGTCCGTCAGTATTTCCTCACCAGATTCTTCAGAGGGAGGAAAGATGGAGACAGATGGAGCAAAAGCAGGGGAGGAAGCCAGCTCTTCTCCTCCTTCTGCATCGTCATCTCGCAAAGGGAGTCAAACTCCTCCAGGCGGTCGCAGTAAGCAGCTGCCCACCACCAGCAGCCACAAAGACATGAAAGATAAGACTAAAAAGACCCCAGAGCAGCTCCACATTCTGAAAAGTGCCTTTGTGAGGAGTCAGTGGCCCACATCTGAGGAGTACGACCAGCTGGTGGAGGAGAGCGGCCTCCCTCGCTCCTACATTGTCAGCTGGTTCGGGGACTCTAGGTACTCGTGGAAGAACAGTAACTTGAAATGGTTTTTCCAGTACCAAAGCGGAAACGTCGAAGGGCCAAATGGCGGTGGAAGCAATAAAATGGGAGGCAGAAAAAGACGTGGACGAAATCGTGGTTGGGGGCGTTCCCGGACTAGAAGGCAGCCGAGGAGGTCGGCCTCCTACAGCGCGGATGTTGACAGATCTCCACCTGCCAAAAAATCCAAGAGTGGAAGGGAGATCCTGAAGGAATACTACCTGAAGTATCACTTTCTCAATGAGCAAGACTTGGACGACCTCGTCACCAAGACCAACATGAGCTATGAACAGGTAATGCCCTTTCTTCTTTGTGATGATAGGAATTGAGAACGCTTCAGAATCCTACAACAGTCGTTCTTAATGGCAAAAAGGAGTTTTCAAAAACATTACAACTTAAGATGCTCTCACAAACATGAAGCTCCACTATACTATAAGAGTTACCATGCAGGATTCTCCTCAAACTACGTGTTTCCTCTCGGTCATTTTCATTTGAAAGACTTAAAAGCACGATTGCCCCTCCCCTCCCCATTCCCTCGCTGGCCTGCACTCACACAGCTCTAGGACTAACCTGGCCTGAGCACAGTTATCGCTTTACAACACATGCATGTCTTTACGTAATTATGAAGCGTGCTTTGTTTACCAGACAAGCTGACTCGAAAATTGAAAATAAAAGGGACAGGCCGCGTCCGCACATCGAGAAGACATCAAGAACAACACAGGGAACATGACAGCTACTTTACTGACTTTGTGGCTTATTTTGACTCATTTTAGTCAGATACAGCCATATCACTCTGGGATTTCTCCATAATAAAGGCTGTCCATGTTGTGTACCCGGGCTTGTGCTCGTGCATGAACTGTACCATACTGAAGCACACCCCCTCCAAGCGTGCCAGGGCCAAGGAAGTGTACCGTGCTTGATCCCACGGATCAGAGCACTCACACGTATCAAATGAACTGGCCTTTAGGGGTGAAGTCTGCTTGGGCATGGTGCGGAATGCGCCCTTAGCTTTTATCATGACCACTCTCTGTTGAGTTTTATTTGAACCAAAATGATTGTTGAAAAATAAGAATCAGAGCATCACACATTTCTTTAGTGTTTGTAGTGTTTTCTGTTTTCTTTCTTTCGTCACGCTCTCCTTCTTTCCACCTTTTCTTCTTCATATCTAGTAGATAATATGCTACTGACTAGCCTGATGCTATCTTGCTTCTTTTAGTTTGTAGTGTTTTCTAAGTCAAAGTGCTGCAAATCAAATACAGTTATTTTCTTCATGACACACATACTGTATTTATGAAAATGTTTTTGACTTATTGGCTTAAGTTCCAGATCCAGTTTTACTCTGCTGTTTTCTCTATCTGACTTCAACCCAGTGACATGGATTCAAATAGAACACTATAGACTGTACTCTTTCTTTGCATAAACCTCAATCATACTTGTAGTTAGTGTTGTGAATATCAAGCAAAGCTTATCAGAATCAGAATCGGGTTTTATTGCCAAGAACATTTACACATACAAGGACTTGGTAAACAATTAACAAGGAAATAAAGCAGAACTAGCAACAACTTAAATAATACAGTATAAGAAGATATTACAATATATAAAATAGAATTAAAAAATGTAAAATAAAAGACACAAAATGTACAAAAGGTGCAATGTAGGAGCTGTGCAGTGGACTGAGAAAAAAAAATCTTACAGTGTATGTAGCTACTCACAGATTGCATGTAAAGAAAATAAAAGTAATGTTCAGTGGGCGTTAATGTAACGCATAAAGAACAGTTCAGCATTCACATTACTTGATATTTTACTGACTGTGGGGGTGATGAGAGTCTGGGTTATGTGGGAGGAGGGGGGATGGGGGGACATTTTCATCAGGCTGACAGCAGAGGGGAAGAAACTGTTCTTGTGGCGAGAGGTTTTGGTCTTGATGGACCACAGCCTCTTACCAGAGTGGAGTTATTCTCAACACCCACAAAAGTCCATTTGATATCTTAGCAATACTCCAACCACCAATGAAATGTTTCAGCAATCACACTATTTATAAGTAAAAAGAATGGTTGATTTAATCATTTATTTATTTTTTACTGATTACTGTAAAAGATCCACATCATCATGCATACTGATGATCACTTTCATTCTCTATTACAATTCTTTTGGCAGAAATATCACTAATGACATAACCGTGCTGTCCACTATGTCCTTTTTTAACCGTTCCTCTGTCCATCACAAGGTGAGGGAGTGGTTCGCCGAGGTCCAGCGTCGCTTGGAAACGGGGGCAGATCCTTTCGATGAGGCGACTGCAGGCGGGGCCGGGGGAGGAGAGGGAGAGGAGGTGCGGGGAGAGGCCACCACGTCCACCAAGGAGCAGACCGGCACTGGGTTGGGAGACGAGGAGGACGATGAAGGCGATGAAGAGGAGGAGGGCGATGATACCGACGACAGCGAGGTTTGGGAGCCGTCGCGCAGCGTGAGGAAGTCCTTGTCAGTTTCTGAGGATTGATGATTGTGAGGCGCACAGGGAAACGCTACAGAATGTCATCAGAGAAATTGGGATATGATCAATGCTGGAAGACAGTTAGCTAAGCCAAGTCTTTTTGCCACTGATTTGCATGTTTACAAATGAGCAACATTCATTCACTGTTTTTTCAAACTATTTCTGATCCATGTCGACATGAGACTAACTGATGGATTATTAGCTTTAGCCCATTTTACTGTAAGTGATCTGTAATAGTTTTGACAGAAATCATCCATGTAGAAGAAGTTTGAGGCAAACCCTGCTAATCTTACTTGGCACACCAACTTTGAGAAAACTAAAAAAGAAGTTGTTAAGTGCAATCTTCAAGCTGAGCTGAGGATTAAAATCCCAAAAAGACATGTCCGCACATGCTTCTTTAGAAGCAACTGATCAATTCTGGCTGTTGGTGTAAAAGAGAGATGTTTAGAGGAGGAGTTTTAATCTTGCCCTTGTGAAATTTGCACTCCTTGCTGGCTTAAGTTAAGCCATTGTTGGAGATGTTTTAACATGTTTATGCTGCATTGCGTGAGAAATAGTGTTTGTTATACTGCTGTGAGCACAGGCCTAACTTCAAACCTTAAATCTCCAGTGTTATGAATGTTTCCCCCCCTCGCTCGCCCTTTTAAAGGACTTGTATTGTTTACAAAGTTGCTCTAAAATGTTTCACAACTGGATGAACCCCTGAGAAATGTCACTAATGAAACTAGCCCTCATCTATTTGTGGGGCTGGTCGAAAGTAAAGATAATCACAAGAAGGACCTGATACAAATCAGCAGGTTGTTTGGGGCTGAAATGGGTAATTGAAAAATAATGACGCTGAAAGTCTGGCTTTAATCGGTCAGAGATAAACGCCTAGAACGATGCGAGGCGGGCACCTTAATGCTGACTGAACGCCAGTGCCATGAATTTTTAAACGAACACAGGATGTCCACGCAAGTCTTCCCTTTACAGTGGCTTGTTGTTTCATTAGTATTATTTGTTATTCAAGAAAGGCCACAGTTTGTGTTTAATATGCACTGTTTTAATGTTTTTAAACTTATTTCTCACCTTTTGATGAAACCCATCATGCGCTGTAGTGACCTTTTATAGCCACTATGAGGCTGTTGTCCCAAAGTTGAATGTGTTGTCTCCAGCTTGAGGCAGAGGCGCCGTATATGAAATCCTTAATGACCAAGTCAGACATGTTGGTCCACTACAGTAAGAATAGAAACAGACACACATTGAATGGATGGACTGAATTGGAGGATGGAGATGCAGATTAACATAGTTTTTCCCCCAAACTAGCTGCAGCCCCAGTGAAACCTTTGAGGAAGTCAATCCACAGTTCATCATCTTTACAATACTTGCAGTCTCCACCAAATCATCGACACCTTGCCTTTAGGTTTGGGCTCACCTGCTTCGTCAAAAGCGATGCCTGAGAATCATTTTGGGTCTTGACCCGCTCCTTAAAGAAAGACTGTTAGACAGAATTTCCAGAGAAAAACATGAAGCACCTAAACTAAACTTTTTTTTTTTTAAAGTTGCACTTTGTCCATTTGTTATCACAGTGGACTAAATCCTGATTAGGCACCTTAATCTCTTATACCATGAAATGGCTCTGAGAGACCAAATCTGTTTTGTATGAATACAAACTAAACCAGTATTTTGCCTTTTTTGTCCTCCATGGAGGAGGAATCAGTGTATCTATCCACCTTCTAATCTAATGTGTTGTGTCATAGTGGAATGTTTGTAAGGCTCATCGAAACGAAAGAACATTAACGCAACACTTTCCTTTGCAAAATTGCACAATTTGAGCCCCATTTTTGATATTCTCTCCTTTGAAATGCACATGTGTTCTACTTGTTGTGTTTTGTATTGTTGCTTTAAATCATGGAGATGATCTCCATTGCTCCTTCTCCTTTCCCTTACGCCCCCTGTTTGACTCTTTACCCTTCTCCTGCAGTCCATGTTTGTAAAATGAATGCCTAGATTCTTGACGTGCACTTCTCGAGACATGTTTCTGTAAAAGTTATGAGTATGCTGTTGAGACAGACAGGGCTGTAGAGACATCTTCAAAACACTGAAACTGAGATAATTGAATGAATTCCCTTTCTCTCTCTGAAGGAATTGTTGTGATGTCTAAAGAAACTGAACTGCTTTCCCTTTGTGGCGGGAAATCAACCAAATAACATTTTACTGCCGAACAAACTGACCTGATATCAAACTGGAAACTCTTCATTACAGCTCAACACAAACAGGGGAGAGATACCCTGAAGAAGCTTTGCAGACAAACCTTTGTGCCTACACGGCTCTTGTGCTTGTTTTGAACAGAATCTCACCAACTCTGGACAGAAGAGGACGAGAGCTTGTCTTTGGAAATCACACACTGTGGAGAGTTTCTTATGGAAGACTGAGTTGCGTTGCATGATCAAGCTCTGCTTTGTGCTGACGTTTAAAGATGCCTAATTACTCTGAAGTTCACAGCTTCTGTTGTAAGACCTTAAACTGATACCGAGGTGTTGCCACCAGTTTTGTTGTATTTTTCACCAGGCACTTGTCACACTACATGTTGGCACCTTTTGCTGTCCAAAAGCAATTTAATGAGTCTTTGAAAGCAAACATTGTGTGCTAGGGTTAGTGTAAGCTAACTGCGCTAGCTAGCAAGTGAAGGGGAACTGAAACAGTTTGTTGTTACTGTACGTGACAAGTGCTTGGGCAAGAGAAAAAAACAAATTCAAAATGTAAAGGTAAACCTTTATCTGATATTGCATGCAATAACCAAGACGAACAACTTCTCATTTTGTACATACCGTGTGTTGTGTTTGGTTTACTTGGCAGAGAATAAGCCTACTCTGTGATTGAGTCTTTGTGTAGCTATGATACCAGTTTCTTTCCACTGCAGCATGGACCTGTTTTTTTTTTCATTGATGGTTTCCAGGAAACATTTGAATAAGCCTTGTCGCTTTTAGCTAACGCAGGCTAACGTCTAGCTTTTGTTTCTGCAGAACTTTTTAGTCACTGCAGTTTTTAACATTTTATGGCGGCCATTTTCTGCTCTTTTTTAAACCTTTACATCCTGGTACTTGTTGTGCTCATTCCTGCACATGCTACAAACCGGCTGTCAGTAATGAGTTTGTTTTAGCCCCCCCCCCCAAGTATCCAGCCCACAGTCTTTTCCAGTGTTCTCTTTCTTCACTGTAGTCCGTCTGTTTTTCAATGGTTTTCTATGTTTCTATTCTATCTATGAAAACTGTGTCATTACAAGTCTTTCCAGACATCAATGGATTGTTTGTCATCAGGACAGACTCATTCAATATGTACAATAGAGTAGTGTTTTTGAAATAGAACCAGTTTTAGAGTTCAGCTAGTGTTGCCTGAGTGGCTTTTTGGTACTTTGCTAAAAAAAAAATATAAATATGAAATCAGAACTCATTGAAAAAGACGCTAAGACGACTGTCTTTGTAGCACTTGGGAATCTTTTTTCATTATTTTGTTTGCCAATAACGTGTTCAATTGTTTTTTTTAAACAATACATGAAATCTAACAAATGTAGAAACACAGCCACCCAATTCATTTTTACTCTTCAAGTTTGAAGCTTTTTACACTCCATCTATGAAGACACAGTTAAGTAATGTCTTCTGTGGCTATCTGACATTTTAACGTCAACCTTGTGATCAAAGTTGGATATTTGGATTTGTAAAAATATAGGCACTTAAAAGGGACCAAATGTGTTCCTTTGTAGAAAATGATGATTCTGTGTTTTTGGAGCTTGACTCGTTTTTTTCTAATCAATTGCTGAACATTTTAATTGTAAATCCCGAGTCTACCATCATAATGATTTTCTATCCATTACACTTGTAAAGCCTCGTCATGTAATGGTTTATCACGAGACCCTCATAAAGGTGATTGAAGGTGTAGACATATGAATGGAATGTGACAATATAACCTGTAATATTACAAAAAAAGATTCAAAGTAATATTTCAAATATGAATCACGCATTGATTACTTTTCCCAACCTGCTGAGGTGCTGCGTCCTCTCCTCGAGTTGTGATTTTATATCCCTCACCATGTATCCCAGTTAACCTTGTGCAGTAGAGCTAAGAGCTAACCGTGTGATCTAAATAGTTAACCTGCTGTCCTGTCGTGCACATTTGTCATATCTGTATCCTGCGCTTTACTTCTGCTATAGTCCTCACTTGTTCTCTGTAGGTAAGAATATTCCATAAAGCAAAATCATAGATTCAAGTGTTTCACAATGCAACAGAAGCGAGTGTTGTCTATACCGTGTTATACTGTACTTGTAAATGGATTCAAGGTGCAATCTTCACCCTCTAGTATTCCCGCTCTTATTTTCATCTTTTGACTCTTTTTTTTTTTTTTTTTGGAGACATTGCTCTTGTTTTAAATGTCCAATTAACAGTTTTCTCTATGTTCACGCTTCAGTGCGTCTCATATTACCAGACCTGTGCTACCAAATGATGGCAGGGATTTCACCTTCTGTATTCAATGAAGGTTCTGTAGACACAGATACTGAGAATACAATGATAAAACTGTTTACTTAACAGGAGACAAACCATATTTAAAATGCTACTTGAAATCAACTGTGTCTCAGTTCTGACCTGCAACAACTCACTGATCCTCACCGTCATGATAATGATAAGGTGGAGAAAACATTACGCTTCACCTGACACCATTTATAAACTCAAACGTCTGAAAGAAGTATTCATCTGTGTCTACAGATCTGACGTTACCATCTACACTTAAGTTATTTCTTCCTCCTGTCTGTACATGTGAGCTGTGTTACAAACTGAGAGTGTCTGTCATAAATTCTGATTAAACACGTATGTATGTATGTTTGTGTTTGCCTGCTTTAGAAAGCTTTCTGTTCCCTCATCAGCTCGTAGCTTCTTGCTGTGAGACACTTTGTGCAATGTTGATTTTAAATCCCAGCTTCTGTTGCTTTGGCTCCATTTAGAAAGGGTTATATTTTATACTTGTTTTGAGGACTAAACCCAATAAATTTTGATCAACATTTGGCGTCTTTTGCTTTAAATATTGAGAAATGAAACCGTGTGGACTAAATACAGTTGCAGTGTGGAAAGTAATGAATGGAGTCCTGTTATTATTTGTGTCCTACTTTTCATCACTATATGCTCCTATTGACATTGAATGCATCTTTACATTAGCTACTCGTCAAACACCTACTGCCAGAGATGAATTTATCTACGCTGTTATCACCATTAACACTTTAAATTCAACTAAGAGTGGTGCAGTCAGTTGTTGGAAAGACATGGGTTAGAATTGCTTTCTTTTCATGTATGTGTTCAAATGACACTTTCAGCTAAAAAAAAAAAAAAAATCAAACATTACTTGACTGCAGCAGCGAAATAGATTTTCAACATAAATAAATATATTTTATTTGTACAACACTTTCTGTTAAAGCAAGGAAAGGCAAATCATTTTGTATTAACATCAGAGAGCTTGTCAGTCATTGTGTGACCAAAGATTTAAAAAATGGTCAGAGAAACAGATGGAAAAGAAGTCCGTTTGGTGTGTAGTTCACAGGGAACTCAGTGGGATGACTCCCACCAGAAACACCAATGGACCTGGATTCTATCCTCTACCCACCATAGACTGTAACAGACTAAGACCAGGGACAGAGCCAAATGGCCAGAAAGCCAACACCACCTTTGTGTTTGTTGTTTTTATTCATTGAAATTCTGCTGTGGAAATGACATGTCAGAAGTAAATCAATAACTGTTTTTTGAAGCCTTATAGCTTAAATAGCTCTGATGGATAGATATGTTTTTTTATTTATCATAAACTGGGACTTTACTTGCATTTGCACCATTATTTATGTAAATCTGATTTAATGGCATATCCTAAATTTTTCCCCACATTTGAATATATGAAAGTCGCGCTTGTATCCATGTATGTATGTGTGCCTTTCTTAACAAACAAACTTGCATTTTACACAATTTATTTTTGGGATATCAGAATTGAGTAAACAAAAAAAATGGAAATACATTTAAGATGTATAAATCATCATCTCTACTCTGATAGATGCTGCAAACGTCACTTGCCCATTTTTATTTGTCCAAACTCTGGAGTCCATAACTAAATAATTACAAGTTTATTTCTGTACATCATTAAATAGGTGGTAATAGGCTCATTGCTGGTGTTGCCTCGTTCAGCCCGATTTCCTTGTTTAAATCCTTATAGAATATGTTTTATGTGTGAATTTGGACTGAAATATTGTCTGTATATGAAGATATCATTAATGTAATATGTATGTTAGGCTAAGGATTTTTATTATTTTCAAATAAAACTTGTGCACAGCAAAGATTTGAAAGACTGTGTAAAGGTACAAAAGTAGGATATCAATAAACACGTTTAATAAATCATTAATTTGGCTTTGCTTTGTAAAACAGCATGCAGACCTGCTTCATGGCCTGTAGACCATAACACGCTGCTTTTTATCCTATTGATGCACAAACTAATCAGCACTAAATACATAATAATAACTTTATTTATATAGCACCTTTTAAAAACACAGGTTTACAAAGTGCTTTGACAAACATCAAAAACAAGAACAAAGCAAACTAAACCAAACACAGAAGAACATAAACAACAGCAAGAACATAACAAATGCAAAATACTAAAAATAATTAAATACAATTCAACAGAAAAGAACCCAAAGTGCACGATACCCAACAGATATATATAACCCGACCATCACAAGAACCATTATAAGAACCCAGGCAACACAAAAACCCAACAACACGAGCTGAGACCAAGAGGACCAAAGATTTAAAAAGATGTAAGAAACTAAAAGAGCTAAAAGCAAATAAAAAGATAACAGCAATAAGAAGGTAAGAGCAGGAAAAGAAATAGAAACAAGTGGAACATATGGGCCTCTAATTGAGACCTGCCTTTATATGTCAAAACCATAGACTGTAAATATTAAAACCCTAAGTTTGGTCGGAACCTTTCTCTCCGGAACCTTTAAGCACTCGCCCGTGTTTTCATCGTACGCCATACACCAAAGGACTGTGTAACCACGAGGGTGTAAACCGTAAACAAACATTTCTCTGGCTGCAAGAAGCTTTGTTTCCGGATTTACTGGTTGATTAATAGTATTTTGTTAGGCTTCGGATGGAGATTTTTGGGAGCACTTTAGATGACTCGTTGTTTCTGGAGGCCAGGGACCGAGTGTCCGAGCCTCTGTCTTCATACAACGCCAAAGTCTGTGAGCCTGAGGTCAGAGTCTCTCATTAATCTGAAAACCAGAGGGCTACATGATCAAACACATCTGTTAAAATATGTGTGGATAAGAAAGAATGTCCTCAGGGCTTCATTACTGATGAAACGTATCAAGCTAAAGACACTGCTAGGTTATTTATCCACCTTCTTCCGCCTGCTGTCCGAGTTGGTGGTTTGAAGCAGCGATTACTGTTCGAAAAATAAAGAAGATAAAAGGCTCGGAAAATGCAATTATCGTATCCGAAGCCTAGGGGACCAGATTAAATATTATGAAATATAGTTTTTTTAGTTTTTTTTAAAGTAGAAGCAGTTAGTTTCAGCAACATAGTTACTCCGTGATAGTTAAGCGCAGTATATACTTTACATTTTGTTTTTATGGGGTACATAATGTATCCAAAACACCGAAGTTGGAGAAACGACTTCCCGAGCACATGGGAACTCCGAGCATCCGTGAAGCACGTGAATTTGTCATAACAAGAAAACCGAAACAATGAAATTATTTTTAGCATTAAAGTCCCTGTAAACCCCAAAAAAAATATACATGTTTTTTTTGTTTTTTATACAAAAGAAGAATGTATTATTAAACACCAGGCCAAATTTCAGCAACGAAAAAGACTTAGAAGTTTATAAAATTAAGCTTCAAAATCATGAGAAATGTAGCTGTTCTCACTCCTCTGGGATGCTGTGGGCGTGTCCATGGAATGCGCCGAAGCCACGCCCACTCGAGGAGAGACTTCCCTTCTCAACTGTCAAAAATGATTTAGACGATTAAAGCGATGATTTACTAATTTAACAATAATATATGTACAATGTTACCAAAATAAGATGACATAAACACAGTTAAGAAAGAAAAGCATTAAATAAACTTTATCAGCCAAAAATGCTACTGGGAGCAGTGAGTACAGACAGTGATGAGGATGTTTTATAAGGTCATCTTTTCTCCTCTTGTGTCTCTGCAGTGGTTTTGTAAGAGTGCTGCTCTAGACACAGACGACCCTCTGGAGACGCAGAAAGTCTTTAAGTTTAGAGGAGACTTGGCTGTGAGACAGGGGAACTATCAGGTAAATAGACAATCATATTTAATGAAGTTGTTGTTTTAAACAGCAGGCTGTATTTGTATATGCTCAAACTCTTGAAAAGGAATTAGTTTACTTGTATTTACAATTATGGTAATGCTGTAAATATTGTAGTGTGACTTGCTCATCTTTTTTCCTATCTTCTGTTCATACCATCTCTAATTGTCTGGCATGTGCTCTGTACATATGTGTGGTGGGTGTAGAAAGCCTTGGATGCGTACAGCATTTGCCTAGAGTGGGTCGCTGACAACAATATGACGATCAGAAGAGACGTTTTGGAGGGAATGGCCCGATGCTACACCATACTGGGACAGAGGGACAGAGCACTCGAATTGGCTGACTTACTGGTAAGTTTGATTCTGTCCAGAATAGTGTACCAATGATTAACTGTAGGTGGAACCATCTACTGTCTCTGTGAAGTCCTTGAACATTTTAATTTAATGTAGAGAATAAAGTCCAAAGGCTGCTAAATTCGTACAGAGAAGTACATGTTTCTTTGGAAAGCATTTATTTTATAATTTACTTCAGCTTTATGATCTAATGTTCAAGATGAATGTGTTCATGTTGTCATGTATTGGTCGGCTCCAGTATCGAAAGTGCCCTGCCTAACAAGTCTGCCAACTAATCTTAATAATATGCAAAGATAAAAACGTGTTGTAGGTGACATTATTCACGAATGTAGCTCATTACTGCTGATGAAAACATGTATGTGAGTTCACCATTAGCACATGAATGCACCGCCCCTGATTATTTTAAAGCTGGAAATAGTAACATAACCAAAGCTTAACTTACTCAAAAATATCTGTGGTAGATAAACTATTTAAGGTGAAAGATATATTTCTACATCATTAAGAAATCAGTCTAGTAGTAAAGTGTACCCGGTCTTTCTGCAGAGCAAAGAAGCCTCCAACACGTGTCACCTGATCAGCCTCCTGCTGCTCAAGGTCAGTATTATCAAATACACATACTGATACAAAACACCTCATCCCTTTTTATTTTTTCAAAATGCATTACAATTTAACTGAAATCTGAACTTTTACTAAAGGTCAGCATCTACCAGCATTTTGGATTTTTGAGATCAAAGATGTCGTCTCTACAGCAGCTGTGCAGCCTGCTGCCCTTTAACCCCTGGCACTGGAACAACCTGGGACAGACATTTCTGCAGCTGCTGGAGAGGAACATAATTACAGGTACAATGCTCCTCATGCTGGGTGTCATTTTTCACCCTATGCACTTTTTTTTGCTATTCTTTTGAACACTTTGATGTGAAGTGTATCATTTTGCCTTAAGGTCTCAGGTGAACTGTGTTTATCTTTATTAGGATCATGTTGCCTTAAGGAATGTGAACCAGCAGATCAGGAGCAGAATCACACAGATTCTGAGGAACAACAGGAAGAAGCAGCCGAGTTCAACAAGGACGAAGTCTGGCTGAAAGCCTGCACGTGTTTCATCAGGACGAGGTACAGCAGCATAGTGATTTTTATCACATGCACAAACTATCAGCCATACTTCTCTAGTATGTGAAAAAAATTGTTTAAAAACATTGTTAAATATTTCAAAGTTGGAAGTTCACTACGCTGGTAAGGATGTTATATAAACCTAAGTAAGAGCAGCGGCATTTAGGCTTAAAATCTTCAAGGAAGTAATCCTCGACTTTTCTAAACACAAGAACCAATCAAATTCATCCCAACGTTATGTCTTGCCTTCTTTCTTGTGATTGGTTCTATCCCGTTTCAATTTAAATATGTCACAACACAGCACTTACATAATCTATAAATTCCATTTCATGGGGGACTTAAAATCACTTGAAATAAAACATCCACTTGAAATATTTGTTGACATGTTTAAAATAAATTATATAGTATTTTATATATATATATATATATATATATATATATATATATATAGTAATTATAGTCCCTGAATGTCAATTTTTTTCTCCGTCAGACTGCTATTGAGGATTCTTCGGCAGCAGCAGTCCTCGTTTGTGCTGCAGCGCAGTGAAGGCACTTTACAGACAACAGATGAGACGTTACAACGGCTCAATCCTAAAGAAACAACACTGCAAGCTCTCACTGAGGTGAGGGTCAAAGACCTGGTTCTATGTATACATGCCTGAATATCATGAAGTGTCATGGATGGACACACTGTGAGCTGCTCTGTTTGATCTCCTAGGTGATGTCTGAGGACCTGATCCCGGAGAAGATGAGGGAGGACTACCAGGACGGTGAGAGCCTGCTCAGTGTGTGTCTGCAGAGCTTCAGTGAGCGCTGGTGGAACAAGATCTTACTGACCGGAGTGCTCGAGAATGACGGCTGTGAACATCATACACAGACCAGTGCTGAGTCCTGACACTCCAGTCATGTCGGGTTCAAAGACAAGTTGGCAGAGATGGCAAAAAAAGACTGAATGCCAGGTCTGACTCATGAACAGGATGATCCACTCAGCCTTATTGACTTGATAAATCCCCTGACATGTGGATATGAACATGTCACAAATACATTGTATGAATGGTAACTTTTCATGTGGATCATTTAATAAAAACCTTTCAAAATAAAATATGGATGACACTCTTGAATTGACAGAATTGTTAATGCAGGGAGACATGTAGAGTGAATGTATTTAATCCTTCATTACCCGTTAATGTTTAATCCACTTCCAGTGGTGTACTCATGGAGGGGGACAGAGGGGGTGATTGCCCCCCTGGTACTGTTGTGAAAAGAAACAGGGAAGGTGCCCCTGTAGTAAATAGAAAATGATTGTGTCCTAAACAATACCCACCGGTATAAAGTCATAGAGTGCCCTCTGGTGCCTCTACATTGTTTCATTTTTGATGAAGTGCCATCTCTGGTATTATTGAAATAAAATGCCCTTTTAAACGAGTTCCATCTTCAGTTTGGATTCATAGTCCACACTTAACCCTACTTTAAAGGCTTTCTATGTGATTTTTCACACTTTAATATAATAGAAATCAAGTATATCCTCTGAAAATAACTCTGTGAGTTATGACTGTCTACAATGGGTGTAACACCCAAGTCCCACTGTCTGTGATGTTTTCAGAGTTTTCAGAGTCCTATCTTCACTTTGTTTACGTCGCTCGGACGGCCAGCTGACTCCTCCCCTCACGTATAAAAGTTGTTTAATTGAGGGACAAGAGAAAAGAAGAATAACATACTGTACTCACTGCTTAACTGTGTTTCTAGATCACGCTCATTTCAGGTAAATTTACATGCAGTGGTTGTTAAGATGTCCCACCACAGAGACATCTTAACAAGCAGGGTATAACATCCAAACGGACCAAAATATTGCCTCAGAAATGATGTCTTAACTTCATGTGACTAATCATCAGTGACAACCAATTTTCATAATCTATTGTTTGTTAAAGTGCCTGCAGGCTGAAAATAATCTCTGGTAACTGCCATCAGTCAACAAACAACCATGAAATTATATAAGGATAAGGTTATAACCAAAACCTACACCCTTAATCCACAACTTAAAATAACAATGAGGTGAAGTGGAGAAATCACTGTAAGGTCATTTAACAACACTATTATTGGATTGATAAAATTATTTCTGGCTCAATTTCTGTGCACTTTTTACACTACAACTACCAATTCACACACAGATGGTAGAGGTTGCTTTGTAAAGTGATCATCAGAAGTAACTGATCCCACTCATACATAATACAATATATAGTGATATATGGATTGTGTAAACAGTATTATTAATCACTCAGGATTTACAACACACAATCATCAATGTTTTGGTGGAATGCAATAGTGACACTTTTTTCCTTATAACTCTTTACTGCTACTGTGTGTTCTCATTGTTCATGACCTGTTTCTGGAGCTATTATCAATAAAGCTTTGTGAACCATCAGCTGGAGAGTTAGATCATGATGAAACTGTGCTACACCACGCTCAACGACAGGAAGAACATCATTTGGTTTTAAAGACTATTCCTGAATCCTGATTTATGATGACTTCTCTGAACTGTTTCATTGCGTTTGGTTTATTGATCTTTGTGTACACTGCAGATTAGAAAAGATCTGTTCAGGTTTCTTTAAAGTGATTCAGATGACTTGTTGTACCTGATTGTTTAAAAGACACTCTTGGAGGCAACATTTCATTTAAGAATAACAGGTTTAGTCACTAGAGGTTTTGTAACACTTTCAACTGATTAAAAAAAAAGAAAAGAAAATCACATTAACCATATAACCTAATAGTAAAATAAAATCTCCAAATACCGGTATCTCTTTAGATGTCTGAGTGTTTTATTGAATGAAAAAGCAAACCAGTGAAGTTGTGAAGGAGTTTGAATTAGGCTTTGTCTTGTGTGGTTGACATCCAATCACAGGGGATTTCATAGGAATGTTGAGTCTTTAAAATAAATGAAGAGAACAACAGATTGAGGGATTAATCCTCTGATTTATGTTAACATATGGACTGTTTGGATATGTATTTTTATGTTGTGTTACCACACCTCTGGCTGCTCGCCAGCTCTTCCTGCAGGTCCGATGTGGTGTGTGTTTTCGTCTTTGTTGTCAAGGAAACCGTGAATGTACTGCGTTTTCTGTCCTCTTCAACATCCTATTTCCTGGTTTTGACTCACAGGGAACAGAAGCAGCTCAGGTGATGAAAAAAAACAGACAAATAATGGTCAGAATTTTGTTTCTGTTTACATAGATAACCAGGTTTAACCAGCTGGAGAAAGATAATTGGGTTTATAACCAGATAGATTTTTTGTTGCCTGTCTGTCTTCATGCACGAGGTATCAACAGCCCTGCCAGACGCAAAGGGCTACCTGAGGCATCGCTGGTCCTGCCAGACGCAAAGACCAGTCCCCAGGATCAAAGAAATGTTGCATCCACCATGCCGGTTCAAGAGGTTTTTCAATAAAAGTTCAGGTGCAGGACGCTACCTGAAATGTTACAGCCATGACAGACGCAAAGGCTACCTGAGGCATCACTGGTCCTGCCAGACGCAAAGACCAGCCCCCAGGATCAAAGAAATGTTGCATCCATCATGCCGGTTCAAGAGGTTTTTCAATAAAAGTTCAGGTGCAAGACGCTACCTGGGATGTTACAGCCCTGCCAGACGCAAAGGCTACATGAGCAAGAGGCAAAGGCCCATCCTCAGCATTTAAAAAGGGTCTCTGTGCCTGCAAATATGAATAAATAAAAGGTCCAGGTGCAAGACGCTACCTGGGGTGTAACCAACCCTGCCAGATGCAGGGGCTAACTTAGGAATCCCTGAACCTAGCAACGATGAAGGCCATTTGTTGCTGCATCCATCCTACCTTATGTGCTTTGATGATTCAAGGAGGAGGATTGTCAGCCTTTCCCTTGTAGTCAGTCAGAGTCACTCTTCAAACCACCTCCCCCTCTTTGGAACAGCCATTTCCTCCTCATCGTCACTCTCTTCCCTGGGTTTTCTTCTAGAGTAACTGGGGCCAGAAGATGAGTGGACATCCTATTCCTCTTCTGTGGAGCTATCGTCATAGTCTTCATCTTCGTACTCAGAGCAACTGTCGCTGTCAGATTCGTCTCCTACAGGCCATAAGTGCCGGTGAGCGGTATGCAAGAGATCAATGCAACAACGAAGCTCCATGCGAAGTGTGGAGTCAGCGGATGCAGGTTCAGCGTGAGGGTCTACAGAAGGGAAGGCAGGCGCAGAAGAACTGCTGGCAGATCCTTCTTCAGGCCACACAAGCCGCTCCAAAGCACGCAGCAGATCAAGGGCCTCATCCATCACTGTGTGAGATTCCCTGGGTCTTCTTCTATTCTATTCTATCTAGTCTATTCTTAAAAATACAGACTGTGTCTGCCTCCCAGACACTGGCTGAAAGGCGGTTCCAGAGGAGAGGAGCCCTATAACTGAAGGCTTTACCCCCCGTAGTACACTTAGAGACTGTAGGTCCCACCAGCAGGCCTGCACTCCGGGACACAACACTCTCGAGGGACAGTACGGCACTAGTAGCTCCTTAAGATAAGATGGTGCCTGGCCATTTAGAGCTTTGTAGGTGAGAAGAAGGATCTTGAATTCTATTCTAGACTGTATAGGGAGCCAGTGCAGAGAAGCCAAGACAGGAGTAATGTGGTCCCTTTTCCTAGTTCTGGTCAGTACACGAGCTGCAGTGTTCTGGACCAGTTGAAGAGTCTTTAGAGACTTGCCAGAGCACCCTGACAAAAGAGAGTTACAATAATCCAATCTGGAGGTAACAAATGCATTAACTAGTTTTTCTGCATCATTTTGCGACAGGATATTCCTGATCTTGGATATATTACGAAGGTGAAAATAGGCTGTTCTTGAAACTTGCCTGATGTGAGAGCTAAAAGACATATCTTGATCAAATAGAACTCCTAGATTCCTAACAGTGGTGCTAGATGCCAGGCTGATGTCACTAAGGACAGTCAAATCACTAGAAAAAGTCTCTCTGAGGTTCTTAGGGCCTAGCACAATAACTTCAGTCTTGTCTTAGTTAAGTAGCAAAACATTTCTGGTCATCCAGGTCCTAACGTCCTTAAGGCACGTTTCTAGCTGACATAACTGACTGGTGCCATCGGGCTTCATTGATACATAAAGCTGAGTATCATCTGCATAACAATGAAACTGTATGGAGTGTTTCCTCATAATATTTCCCAGAGGAAGCATATATAAGTAAAGAGAATTGGTCCAAGCACTGAACCTTGTGGGACTCCATGGCAAACTTTAGTGTGCATAGAGGACTCATCATTAACATGTACAAACTGAGATCAGTCTGATAAGTAGGATTCAAACCAACTTAAAGCAGTCCCTGTAATTCCAAGCAAATGCTCCAGTCTGTACAACAGGATCCGATGGTCAATGGTGTCAAAAGCAGCACTAGGATCTAACAAGACGAGCACAGAGAGAAGTCCCCTGTCTGAAGCTAGAAGTAGATCGTTTGTAACTTTAACTAGTGCAGTCTCAGTGCTATGGTGGACTCTAAATCCTGACTGAAACTCCTCAAATAAACTGTTGTCATGGAGAAAGTCACACAGCTGATTAGCTACCACCTTCTCCAGGATCTTCGAGATAAAAGGAAGGTTGGATATAGGCCTATAGTTAGCCAGAGTTCCTGATCCAGAGTAGGCTTTTTAAGTAGAGGTTTGATTACCGCTATTTTAAATGCCTGTGGTACATAGCCTGCCAGTAAAGACAAATTGATCATAACTAATATAGAGTTGCTAACTAAGGGAAAGACTTCCTTAAACAGCTTGGTTGGGATTGGGTCCAAAATACAGGTTGACGGTTTCGACGCAGAAAAAATGGAATATAGCTCTGAAAGGTCGATTGGAGAAAAACAGTCGAGACTAATATCTGGTCCTGGAACTGTCTCTGCCGTATCAGACGTATCCGCACCAGGTAAGGGCAGGAGGTTACCAATTTTGTCTCTGATGTCTAGAATTTTGTTGTTGAAAAAGCTCAGGAAATCATTACTGCTGAGGGCTAGAGGAATACAAGGCTCAATGGAGCCATGACTCTCTGTCAGCCTGGCTACAGTGCTGAAAAGGTATCTAGGATTGCCTTTGGTTTCCT